TACTCTCGGTCACGACGGGGAAATCGTGGCAGGTCTGGAGCATTAGCGTCGGCGGAAGCCTCACTTTAGGGAAGAGAATTTACTCATGCCCGGTAGCGTCGATTGCGATAACGCGCCCAGCTCCGCGGTCAGAAAATGATCCCTTAGATCCTCGAGTATTCCTCCGATCCTTTTCTGTCCAGCTCTGATAGCATTCAAGGGATCTATTGCCATTGTAGTTCCTCAGCTCGGTTGGCGAAACATCTGCCCACTTAGCGGCTGTTAAGTACAACAAAGATCATTCAATAGGAAGAAATTCAATATACTGGTAGCCTTAACCCCGCAGATATTCCTAGGGTTGATCGTTACGCTGAGTACCCTGTGTTCCTTCCGAAACTTGCGAACGAATAATGTGAAATGAGTGAAATTCGCAGAGGAGTTCTATATCGAGAATATTGCGAAGACAAGGTTGCCTTTCCGCATCAGAAGAGATGCTGGAGGTCAGCGGTCTAATTAGATTCGGAAGCTTCGTCCATCTTAAGTTTTTCGTTCAAGAAGATTCTGGGCGTTGAGAGCTCGAGGCAAGACGACATTTCTTCATGATTCGACCGAACAGAGGCAGTGCCGCGATAATCTCAGTAATTGGAGTGTCCGCGAAGCTACATATTGGAAGCGGAAATCGTTCTGATCTTTCCTCGAGGCGGATTGATCCTGATTTGGGGGGGGGGACTGACGTGTTTCCCGAGGTCGAAATACAGCCAGGAGGGTCCCGAATATCGGGGACCGCGAAGTGTCCGCTGAAAGCGGAGCCCACCATGGGCGATGAGATCAACATTTGTTCAAAGTTTGTCTCATGAGAGTGTATGTGGGCCGTGCTTATGGTTAATCCACTATAACCGGAAAGTCCTTTTCATCGGCTCCCAACGTAATGAGGTTCCACAATAATCGATAGACCCCGCTTGCGAGCCGCTGCTTAGCACCTTGTGAATATCTGCGGAGAAACTCTCCATGATCCTCTATCGATCCGGCAGATCATACTAAGGATTTTATTTTTTTCCTAGAATCAGTCGGCAGGTTCGCATGAATGGACGACGGAATGGTGAGTCATGGTAGATAGTCTTTATTTTGAGCCGAAAATGTCAGAGGGAATCCTGCGCAGCGTTCAGTTATTCTCCCCGCTCTGAACCCATGAGCGCAGAGGGGTCTCTCGCAGATCCGGCAGGCGACGAGTTCTTCCGAGTGAACATGAATCGACAGTGAGATGGAACGAGAACCTGGAATACGATGAACACGAGCAGGAAATATCAAAGCATTCACTGCAGCCCTCGCCACGCTGAGCTGAGCGTGCCAAATACGGCACGGGGTCGTCGAATGAAGGCTGCATCGAAAAGGACGCATGGCACCTGGCTTATCGAGGTATCTCCCGAGGAGAATTGATTCCGGAGGAGGAGCGATGGGCGAACCACATCGAAGACCTACAAGAGCTATATCTGAGCTGGTTCAATATGAGCAATCATCCGCTGTCGGACGGTCTAGCTAGAGGTTTCGGACGGATCATGAGGAGTTTCTCCGCATGGATTGCTGATGACCGCATCCGGGAGTCCGCACCGCGGATTCGACCCTCCAATCTGTGCTGATATTTGTGCTCGCGATCATACTTTCCTTGGCGATAATTTTCCGCTTGCGCTACATTCTCCGAATCAGAGCAAGATGCGGGCCCGCTCCGAACGTCGTTAAGTAGATGCGATTTAATTGCTCGGCTGTGATTATTTGACTAAGGTAGGAGTGTATAAATGTACGGACACACACGACGTCGGCGGCCCGCATTGTGCATCGTCGGCTTCATCATCGAATCAATTGAAAGGGTTCGGCAACTCCGAGCTTCCAGAATGAGTGTTGTACCGTATAGGCGTTTCCGACACCGTCGTAGCTGCTCCGCAGCACATGTCGACGCACGCGTGCGATTTCGATCATCAACGCCATTGGCGATGAATCCCGAACTTTTGAGCACCGCATTCAATCGTCTCCGTGATAATTATCGCCTTGTTTTCGATTCACGACCAAATGCTTCCCCAAAGAAAACACCGGCCGGACGCCGGCAGATTGCACGTGGAAGCTTTTGGTGCCCGACGGCTAAAGTTTTGTAATTGTATTGCGACTCTTCGGGAGACGTTCCAATACATTGCTCCGACTGCGGAGCAACCAGCGTCCGGCGGCGGAACACCGGGGCGATGATTGACGGGGCTCGATTGACTACTCGCTTGACAGATCAATTCCCCATCGCGCCAAACCCTCGTACCGGGTACGCCATCGCTTGCTGGAGTGAGCGCTACGAATTCAATCCGACCGATCCAGCGGGAAATCATTGTCAGTCATCGGCACGTTTCGACTAAAGGCCGAACGCGGGTATCGGCTCGATTGGCCAGCCCTCTGGGTCGGTGATTTCCACGGTCGCCAATGCTGCTTTCCCCCACCGGGCGTGGCGAACGTCGGAATGTACGGAACCGGCCTCAGTTCTCCCGGATCGGTATGCAATAAGCGCTCGTTGAAAGTCCCATGCGCCGCACGTGCGCCCGTCACCGTTTCATCGGCGACGGGGTTTCCGTCTTCGCTACACAGTGGATCTCTTGGCGACACTCGAGGCTTCTCATCGGCCTGAATCATCGAGAGCGAATGCTCAGAGACCAATATTGTATGCATGTGCATATATTCCTTGAGTATGTCGACCGTTTCGCGGATCACATCTGGCAATCCATGGAATCGGAAAGGTCTCTGTCACACAGCCGTTGTCTCTCATTGAATTTCAAAGTCCTTCGTTCGCCAAGCACATTCGAGTGTTTCCTTTGTATGGGTCGCGGTGATCGCCGGGGAGAACCAGTTTTCGAGAATAATGCTAACCTCAAGAAAACAATGAGTTTTCAACTGTATGGCGACAGACCCAACGGTCACCTGCAGCTTCCTTGTGACGTCAAACCGTCATCCCACCCTCGCTTGCTAGCTCCTTTCACTCGGTCAGTGGCTCATTATAGCGGCGCAAGTCTGAACTACTTGTTTTCTGGTAGGTCCTCCGTCTTTGTTCGCCAGGCGATCCGCATTCGAAGTCTGCGAGGCGCCTCTTTCGAACACATCTTGACATTACTGTGGATCGATTGTTAAATGCAAATCATCTAACGTCTTGCTAAGTGCTCTGTCGGTCGAGCCTCAGGATCTGCCTTCGGAAGTGCTCCATCCCTGATGACGGTATGGAGCAAATGAACTTCTCCTCTGTGACCTCGATCAAAAGAGATTCGCTTTCCGACCACAGGAACGTCCACGCAAAAGCAAGAAAGTCCCCATTCGAAACCCAAGCGCTGGCCGGAACACTCGCGCAAGACTGACGGTGCACATTCGCCAGACAGGCGCGCTGGCTGGCGAACCGACTGTCCGTCTGTCTAGCTGGCTGACTGAGCTGAATTATCTTCACGGTTAGCCGCTTTCGTTTTTCCATTGTGTCCCAATGTATGTTCCTAGAGGCAGTTTCATGCCACCGCAGTTCGCGTTTTTGTCGCCTCGCGCACATCACGCGGCTGCCGGAGCTAGACTTCGCGGTTTTGGTACAGAATGCCGCTTTCCGTGCCGTGCTTTTATTTTTTCGCTCACACTCTCGATCCGCCTCCCTCCTCGTATACGTCGTCATTGACGTGGTCCGCTGCGATGGGGTGAGACTTTCGCCGACGAGATCACTCTTCGACGAAGCTCTGCCGCACGGAGCTTTTCTGCGCCTCCTGTGTTTGCTCTCCCACACATTTGCGCAAACGGTTTGAGCTTCGTCCCGTCTCGTCCGACCATGGACCCACTACCTTCCGGTGAAGCTGTCAAACGTTGCGACGACATGGCAGAGCACCGCTGTAGCACTGGGTGATACCGTCTGCGGGCAACTAAAGAAGTGTGATCCTCGATTGATCGAGGATCCTATCTTTCCGATTTCCGACTATCCACTTCCTCATTGATTGTCAACCACTTGATGGAAGCGTTCGAGTACTCCGAGCGCTTTAAGGGCTCCGGCAAAATCCTCTCTTCGCTCGAACTTCGCAGTGATCGTTGTTATTGAACATGTCACCTTTTATAAATTTTTCCCTAGCACCCGGCAGAACTATTGACGATCTGCTGTCGTGAAGTTGACTGGTAGAAGAGAAGCTTCACTCGGAGCGTTATTCATGGCATCACACCTGATTTTACGAGCCACCCTCACGCAATGCTGTCGAAATCGACGGCGACATGAACGGCGTCGTCAACGACGTTGCTGGCGAATCGGAGATGAGCTCTTGGCTTTGGCTCTGACCCTTTTGTGCACCAAAGGTCATCCTGCCGATAGAAATCCAGGGGGCGTATGTGATTGATGGATGCGTCGTCCACTAGAGGAGGGATTGAAGAGGAGGGAAGAGAAACTATGCTTTCTAATTAGTGAACCTCGCTCTGGTAAGATCGTAATACACCGTGCTGATTGATTTCATTAATTTTCTTCTGGTCGTTCCCGCTCGCGTGATGTCGCCTAACGTCCAGGGCTTGTTTTTCCCTGAAAAGTCAATTGCGAGTCGGGAAGGATGGAGAAATATTGAGTCTAGTTGGGAAATTGTTTCAGACTGTGGCTTACAATATCATTGCCGCGGAATTCCCTTATATCCTCGTTCTTTACCAACGGCCACCGTCTACGATATTGAGTCGGACCATCGGATCGAGGAGTGCATTTTTCGAAAGCCTCAATCTGAGCTACTGGCAGCGCAATCTTCCGCCAACTGCCGCGGATTTCGAGCCATTCTTCCGGATGAGAGCGGTGGGGGAAGCGGCCGAGGGGTGTCGAACCTTCGACTGACAACGACTTTCGACGACCGCAAATCGTGCCGCGGGTCTCTTCGTCCGCCATGCCTCCGACTGAATCGATTATTCTTTCGCTCAACTGATCTTTCTCCTATTTTTTCCAGGTGAACTAATAGCGCTGTCTGTCAACGGACTGATTCTCCCTGATCTTCGTCAAACATAGCATGGAGTCGATAAAAAAATTCTTCGTCAAAGTGCGGAGCACGGTGAGTTCCTCAAACTATGATTTTTGCTGCCGCATATCTGCTGGAGAACTTGAGCGTTCTCGACATGTGGCATGCGGCCTCGCGATTACGTAGCTTCGATCATGCAGTGGAGAGGTGTGCATGTGCGCCAAGTAGTTTTCACGAAATCGCGGGCTCGTCGATGCGAGGCCGGTCGCAGTTTTCCGAGATCACTGCGGCAAGAGTCCCATCTCGCATGACGCGCCACGAGATGTTCGGTAAGTTGACGCGAGGGATACTCCGAGAAGCGTCGCCGTCCGAGCAGGGAGAGCCTTCTTAAAATAAGATCCGCGTGAAGTGCCGTGAGAGTTGACGCGGGAGATCTGTCGGCGGGGATCGGATCTCGGCTGCGAGAGAAATCCGTTTTCCGCGTCCTCGAACCGCTCTTCGGAGAGTACATAGCTGCGGAGAGAGCTTAAGATTGAAAGCCATCAAGGTCCCTCCCTGGCAGACGCTCGATCGAACATCAAGGGGCCTCATACATATGTATGAGCTCTACCTGGATGATTACGTTTCTCGCCCCGGATCGAATAGACTCCGGGCGTTTGAACCGTTGACGGCCCAGCTATTGCAGTGCCTCGGATCGATCACAGTCGGATTCCGACCGCACAGTTTGGGCCTTCATCAGCCCCGGAATCGCTCCGTTTGTTTCCGAAATTCGTGAAGATTTTGATGAGATGTCGAAAACCTTACGAAAGCTCTGGATTTCCTAGCGATGTTCTTTTGAGACGAAAAAAGAAGAACAAATGGCAGTTCCCTAATCTAGACGCGAATTGAATGGCTCGCACCTCGTTACCGCACACCCGTAACAATATCGCTGGAAACGTCCCTTGTGTGCGGTCGCAGGCCCACTTGTTCTGGTGTCCGCTGAATCGTGAGGTGTCGACGATCTTTTGTTGGTTGTCAACCTTTCACGGTGTGTTGCGAGAAACCTTGGGGTGCCAGACTGTGGCTTCTTTCGGTACCTACATTTCCTGTACCCGCAGAAGCTATATCCAGCCGAGATTCCTAGCATTCATCAGTCGTCATCACCTCCAATCGGGAGACTGAACGGCCGTCATGATTCATGATACTTTTGAGTGAGTTTGGAAGCATGACGAATACAGTTCCAGATCCATATCCCAAGCGGAACAATCGGCTGGTGAATGCACGAATACCGTATCACCTCCCTTGTACGCATTGTGTCACTCTATCCCTTGAACCTGTATCTATCTCAATGATCCGCGGTCGTGGCGGAGACACCACGACTTGGTTCGCATTGTTCCCTATCGTTATTGTCTCTCGGCATCGATCGTGAGAAATAGGTGTACCGGTCATCGGGACAACAGAGGTGCTATCGGAACTTCGACATGCGGACGCTGAATCATTGGCGAAATTGACGAAGAATTTCAAGGAATGTAATGCGGGGAGGGTCACGTCGAGCAGAGATTCGAGATTTGCTCTGCCTATCGTAGTGGGTCAATGTGGATGCCGCCATTGATGCTAACTCCCTACCCATGCGGAGACCGGAAAAGCGAAACTGCGAGAGTGAGGTAAAAAAGAACCTTAACCGAGTGCGCATAACAAGTCAACTCTGGTTCCGAGAGAGATCGGAATGCGATGGCAGCTCGGCTCCTGACCCGTGGCGCTGGGACATGATATCCTGCAGGATCCCCGGCAGGAATCCTATCAGAAATTCCGCTAGGGCTCTTGTAAGAGACATCGGAATTAATCTGCCCCCTGGTATCTTCTATTTGCCTAAAGGCCGTTTTGTGCGAATGAACCCAACCAGCGTGTCTCGAACTCGTCGAAACGATAAATTGTCAGTGCTGATCCACTGAATAGGACTTGATACAGATTGCCGGAGCGGGGCTCTGCTCATGAAGAGCGTTTCATTCAAATCGCGGCAGATCCATTCATATGAGATCAAGCTCCGACCGAGCTCGAGGTTGTCGGCCTGGTATCAGATCGGGTGTTCCCGAATTTCTCGCTAGCATCGTTGTACCGATGTTGAGCGTTGACTCTGGTACTCTCCGCTACCATGCCCGGGGAGGAGAAAATGGCCTCGATGTTTTGATCACATTCTTCGTTTTTCTGTAGAGTGTCAAGTTGTCCAATTCTTTCCCTCGAACAAGATTGCTTTCACCGAGCTACGTCGGTGGAGCGACATGATTGAGAAGTGAAGTTTCGTCACAAAACCAATCTTCATCAAGAGCTGGTTGCCGTCAAACATCCAAGCGGAACTTGCAGCATTCTCTCCGACGAGAATGCTGAGTGAACGATAGTAAGCCGGGTATTCCGTCAGGATACCCTGATGGTTTCCGTCAGGCATCCCATCAGGGTTCCCGTGGAGAGGATTCGATCCTTGCGGCTGGTGAATGTTTCGCTCACGCGCTGGATCCTGCCTGGTAATTCGCTCCCTTGATCCATCCGCGAGAGCACTGCGTGGGCCCGATCCGAGGCGTAGAAGTTCGAGTTTGCGGTCTGGATCGGGCATCTTTCGGAAAGAGGATTCTAGAAAGGCGCTCCCAAGCAAACTACATACGTGCCGAGCATCAAGGTGTGCAATCCTCATATAATGACAGCGACCCCGGCATGTGATCGATCAGTCACCGTTCGTGAAGTCAGTTTCGGTTCTTAGGAACTCATTCGATTCTTCCCTCTTCAGAGAAGAAAGTAACGGAAAATCTCATAAATCCTCCGGCCATAAACCTGTACGCCGGATCCTATGCGAAAAGAGCCGTAATTGCATCGATGAAATCTTGATGAGATGATTGTTCCGAAGGATCTTGTCTAACCCCATCAAGCGGCAGATACAGTCACCGCGCCGGATATATCGACTCGTTTCGGAAGCCTGACAAGATTCCACGGGGCGCGAAGGCTCACGTCAATTCTAGGATTCGCCTGAAACTCAGGGAGAAGGTCGGATGCTTTGAGGGGTACTGAGGGACTCGCGAGATCGAGGGAGTCGCTAGTCCAAGTGGGACGTTGCGAGATGCTTGTGGAATATTTTGCGCGGAATCAAAGTCAAAACGCCAGTGTAGAAAAATAATGTCCGGAAGCCGGACTCGGCGCATCGACGAAAACAACAGCGGATGAGGCATGCGTTGTTTAACGGTGGGAACCCGCCGATATCCTCGCTGGGCCATCGTCGCGGTGAAATAACTTTGCTCTAATAATTTTGTCGTGTCCCGTCTGTGTCGCTGCGCGTCGCCGCTGAGGCAGCGACGAGTACTACTGCCAGCCGGTAATCAATTTGGGGACTTGATAATTGCTTGATCGCGACTTTCGTTCATTCTCGTCGATGGCAGAATCACTGACTGTTCGGACGGACGTCCATCAGTCAGCCGAGCAGACGGTCAGTGAGGCGGGGAAACTCTGCTATTAGCGGCGTTCATCCGCGAAGACATTTTCGGGCCACGGCAGACCACGGTCCACTCGGACCAAGAGCTCCGCTCTGCGATTGGTTCCATCAAATGATCACATCCGCTCTCTCCGACATCCTCCCTCCATCGCCTCCTTCTCTCTGAATTTCGGCCTGCTGCTCTAATACTTCGGGGAGTTTCACCGAGAAATATCGTAGGGGCTTCAAGATTACTTTCCGACTGACAATTTCATTGCCTCCGCATGGGGTCGGAAGAATGGGGATACCTCGTCTCGAGGATCAATCGTCTCTAGTTGTACATCGAGTGTCTCGGCTGATCTGTACCATGTTCTCTCTGATCAAGCATATTTGGGGGAAAAGTTAATCCCTCGTTGGGGGCTGTCGCAGTGAAAATGGGCGACAAGGTTTTCTAATTGAAGACCTCCCAAAAACATCATTAACGGCTTGTTCAGTAATTTTTCGGGAGAAAAGCTCGAGTTCTCGGTTCTATTCTGGGCAGGAGCAAATTGCCTTAGCAAAGCGTAACCAAGGACAAAAGCTCGCAATCGGCAACACCTGAGATTTTCAGCTCGCGTTCGCTAGTTATTCAGAATCTTTCTCAATTCGGCCAGCGCTACCTCGACGGACCAATTTCCGATACCCAGTATTTAAGCTCGTGGAACGATCGTTGGAGCGTCGCACTGTGTCTGCAAACTGCCCGAGTGATCATTATTTTCCCGTGAGCGACGTCCACCGTTTAATCAAGAGAACAAAAATAACCGGCTCGAGCTGTTATTTCAAGTTTCGCGTCGTCATCTAAATGAAATATAGATCGCTGCCAGTCAATGAATGAAGTGATTCGCTGACAACGGTATTTTTCAACGGGTAGGAGTACGTGACGGATTCATCCGATCCGAGCTTCCACGGTATCGTCATGCGAGCAATAATGTTTCACATTTCGATTACAGATCTCGTTGCGACGGAATGCATCCTCATCGAAACGAAACAAGCTCACCACGGTGAAACCTCACTGCCGACGACGAGCAGCGTTGGCGATCAAGCGTCAGACGGTCACAGCTCTTGTAGTACCGAGTGAGTGTTTGGATACGAGTGGCGTGCACACCGGCGTCGTTCCGCTAATTTCTGAGACCGTGTTATTCGAGCACTCAGAATATGATTCCATAATCACAGCCGTAGGGTCGGCCAATCTGTTTCGGTCGCGCGACAGAAGCTCCCGCGGGAGTCCCTCGCAACAGAATCGCATCTGCGTCGCGCGTGGAAATTCGATCATGGATGTTAACTCCAGCATTGCCGCGTGGGGTCGCGGAGCGCGTGCCGCGAGCGCTAATGAATATTTATAGGCAATGAGCCTTTTTCAATTTCAGGCATCGTGATCATCACAGTTGGTGGCTTTTTGATCCCTCTTCATTTTCTCGTGGGTCTTGCCGTTTTTTGCTTCGGGCTCATTCTCCTGTTGCCATTGCCGTTAGTAATCTACAAGATGAAAACGTTCTTGATTGAGGAAGACTGCGAGTGCTGTTGCTGTTCCAGCGCCGTCGCCAGCGGTAAGTTAGGGTTCCTTGATGCTTGCAGTGATAAAACTGTGGAATGAATGGACGATGTACCGACAGGGCCTGCTCGGCGCGACCGGTCCGGAGCGGCCGATCGCTCGCCATTACGTCCCGATAAGAAAGGCATTGTTACTCGACGCGTACATCATTTGGAAGGACTAACCTGGATCTTCTTCGTTTGATTCCATTCCAGTGTCGAATACGATCGACCGTAAAATGATGATGGGCTCAATGAGCTGCATAAACGGAATGGTTGATGTGAGTCCTTCATACGTCAACTACGGTTACGACACTCATCTTGACTTCCCGTCGTCCCGGCCGATCACTCCCGCTTCATCATCGTTCTACACCATCAACTCATCGTTGTCAGGGTCGCTCCCCATTCTGAATTCCGTGATTATTCGTGAAAGCCCCTTGATATGAGGTGCGCATACTTCGCTATTTCGAGGGAAGATTTCGACGGGCATCGATCGTTTCCGATCCCTTCAGCTGGAGTAAATAGGAGCTCGGGAAAAAGTTCATTCGCAGATATATCTGGATTGTGGGAGATGGCTATCTGACTCTGTTCTGATGGTTCTGATCTGACCGATGTAGTGTAGCGGATGAACTCTTATCTGAGAGCTGGAAACCACGCCGGCGATTCTTGCGGAGCCCTTACGTATGCTGATGTGCCACTGTTCTTCATTCAAAGCTGCTCCACTGGGATGAATAATTCTTGAAAGCAGTGTATTGCGAACATCGCGAGCCTGTGAGCATGGTCACAGAAGGTTTCAGAACGGAATATTCCTGAATTTTTGTCTATTTCATCAAGAATCCGGCTTTGACTGGTCATCAATGTAAATAAGATCTGTCTACTTACGTCGGGCAATTGCGATCCTCTGAGCGAATGACGCTGGTCTCCGAAAGCGGCTTCCATGCCGGTAGATAATCGGAGTTGTAAATACGACATACCGAATCAGAGAATAAAATATTTATGTCGATGAACCATTCTTCCTCGCTGATAGCTAGGGATGAATTCATTCCGTATCCTCTACCTTTCCCCTTCGGAGGTATGGGCTGCAACTTCAGGCTGGATTGCTCTAAATCATGATCAATGAAACCGGATGTCGCGGGATCATGGACTCTACAGAACCCAGAATTACTTGGATCTCCACGACTGACCCGGAGAAGTCGTAAGTGACCTCACCCGATCCCCAGAAAAATTGACGTGGCCTCTTCCTGCCCGGACTTGAGCTTTCTCTTGGTGATACCTGGATAAACAACCTCCGCTCTCCTATCAACGTGTCGGCGGAACATCGAGCACGTGTGAAATTCCGAAGCAGGCTGCGTCGCGCTTTTATCTGAACGTGCGATCGGCTTACAGCGGCCAGCGGCATCACGCCGACGGTGACAACAGACAGTCCTCAGGTGCGCATCGAGCTCACTCACTCTTGAAGGGTTCCCTCGCGACCGGTGCGTGAGAAAAATTCTCGGATTCGAAATGCGAGTCGCAACGCTCTTGCCCGTGGTTTGGGCCTTGACTTCCGCCACCATCCTAACTCCGCCAAGCAAAGCGGTGGCACCCAAAATCCCGCCTGCGGCCGTCCCCGAAATCCCACTTGCGGTCGCCCAAGAATTGGACCCCAAACTGCTGTCTGCTCTCGCTAGGATTATCGCTGAGATAAAGAAGGGCAAGTATCCGATAGGCGGACCTCTGGTTATCAAGGACGGCTTGCTCGCCGAACAAGGTATTTCCGGTGAGAGTCTATCGCAGCTTTTGAGTCTCTACCTCCCGAAGCCGCCGAAAAAACTCGTAGAGGCACCTGCGAAAGTGAAACTTCTGCCCAAGCTTCCGAAAGCTTTGCCCGGTCTTACTCGCCTTCCTCCTTACGTGACCGGCGTGGAGGCAGTATCTGCGGCGAGCTTGCTCAAAAACAAGGTGTTCCCTCAACTCGCTCCCGGAAATCCGGCGCTTTCGTTGGCTAAGCTGAATGGCCTGCCCGTGCTCGTCATCGTGGCCAAACCTGGGGCACTTGCTCCTGACGCCCACGAGGCCCAAGCAATCTTGGAAATTCCGCCTGGCCCGACCTATTCTAAGCGGAAAATCATATTCCCTGCTGAGGCAGAAATATCGCCTGCGGATCTGAAGAAGGTCATTGCGGCGAAATATGTCCCGAAGAAGCCCGTGCTCGCCGTCGATGTCGTGAAGCCAAAAGTCGTTCCTGCCTACGCTCCAGAATTATTGCTCCCCGGCGTAGTACCGGAGTCTACGGTCCCGGACTTGACCGTGACTGATGCGCCGTCGATCCTCGTCAAGCCGCTGGACGTAGCACAGGTGCCTTACGCAGGAACGGAAGCTCCCGCTCCAGCCGTAGCCTTAGTGGAGCTTGCCGGAGGGGCAGAACTCGCCGAGGCTGCTGACGGCACATTGCTGCGTTCGGCCGGTGCGATTTCAGATTCCGTCGATGCGGTTGACCCAGTGGATTCCGCCCCCCCAGCTGATGCTGCTGGCCTCGCCGATCCAGCTCAAGCCGAGCCGAGCTCAGCGGACAGCGCGCGGAGCCTGAGCTCGCCCTCCGAGCCTCTTTCCGAGGTAGAAGCGCCTGGTCAGAAGATTTCAATCTCATAGACGATTTCTGGAGAATCGTACATACAACATCTCTCCTTGGTCCCGCGAGAGGAATTCCGCGACTGCGTTGCCCGAACTACTCGATGTCGTCATTTTAACCCTCTTCTTCAGACGATCTCTTGTTGAATCAGTTTCCATTGTAAGAACCTTTTGTACTAACCAAAGTGACACCTTGCCCCCCAAAGACAGGGCAACGAAGGAACGAATGATCATTGTCATGCTTTGTAAAGAAGAACTCTTTTGACAAAACTGAATGTGACCTGACGTTTTCATTTGCATGGCTGGACGTATGACATGTAAATAATGATAGATAAGAGATGACTCTCGCTGTAACACATGGTCACATATGGAAATCGCTGCTGTTATCGCAGGAACAAGGATTCTTAGGAACATCCGCGATTCGATTCCAAAATTCAGACGCCATAACACTCCGATCGTAAAGTTGAGAATTCACCTATGTCAAGGATCCTGCGGAGCGAGGCAACAGCATTCCGGATAGAAAAAGTCGATCGATAGAATGACATTTCCGACGGTGTATGTTTGGAACGCCTCGAATGAGGAGACTTCTTGGCTAAGTCATGATATTTATTGAACTCTGCGTCTCTGAAAATATCACACGTGCGATTGACCGAGCGGTGGAGCGTCTCGGGAAAATTTTCTGAGTATCAAGCATATACGCCTTAGCGCTCTAGAGGAGTTTTCCCCGGATATTCTTTCCTTATGCTCATCAAACAAGATTTATCTCACAGTGAATCAAAATGAACAGTTTATATCGATCCCTCGGAAATGACCAGTGGAGGAGACCACGGCACTCTCAATTATTCGATACTTTGACGTAAAGGGTACGCCTATGCAATACATCTTCTCGCTGAGAGATTTTGTTCGTTTGTCACTATGACGACATATCGACCGGCAGCGCATCTCACCCTTCTGCATATATCATCCTCTCAGCCCACTCGAAAGCTCAGTCCGAACGAGATTCCATAATTGGAGGAGGGGGTATTCTCTCCGACAATATACAGCTCCGCTCACCATTCCGTGTGCTGGGATTCTTTCGGGAAAGAGCCAGAGGGATAGGCTCTACGCTGCCGATCGGTACCTCGCATTGTCGACGGTGCCCAACGAGTCGCCTCGATGACTCGCTCCCCAGAATACGGAATAAATGCCTCACAAAAATATATCAGTTCGTACGCTGCGACTCCGAGTCAATTCAGATCCGATCCGAAAAGCAGACTGGAAGTCGCAGAACGTGTCCGGCGGGGATCCACCGATGCAAACGCTTGGGTTGAGACGTGAAACTCTATTTGTCTCTCGCCACGAAGCCTTGAAGCATGTCGATGGGGATCGGGAACACGATGGTCGAGTTTTTCTCCGCCGAGATCGTGTTCAAGGTCTGGAGATACCTGAGCTGCAGAGCGGCTGGGCTCTGGAAGCGGAAGACGAGGTGAGAATCTCGGGGAACTCTCAGGCTCCCTACAACACGCAGCCCATTTTTTCATCTGATAGGAAAGGAATTATCGAGAAATTACCTGAGCTATAACGTCCGCGGCTTCTTTGAGAGCTCTAGAAGACTTTTGCTCCCCTTCGGCCGCGATGACTTTGGCTCGAGCTTCCCGGGCGGCCTCTGCCTCGGCCGCCATAGCTCTCTGCAGTTGGACAGGTAAACGGACGTCCTTACTGGAAACAGATGGGGGTCATTTGGAGCGAGCTCTGTGTGTTGAATGCCAACGAAATGCTCGACATCTTTCAGAACTCACATTTCCACTCGTTCCACTTTGATTCCCCAAGCATCGGTCGTGCCGTCGAGCGTATTCTGCATCGTTGCAGAAATCTGCTCCCGGTCGGAGAGAATCTCGTGGAGGTTTCGGGTTCCCAGCATGTTCCTGTTCATAGGATGAATGAGGAGATAAGGAGTAAATGAATGCTGAGAAATCACGCAGCGTATATGCCAAGCATGAGTTCGGGCGGATAAGAAATATGAACCTCAAGGTGGTCTGAGCCAGGAGTCTCGTGGAATGATGAGCGTTCTCGACGTTCGCCACGGATACGGCAGCGTTTTGAATCCTTCAGAAAAAAGTTCTTGGAGGATTAGTTTCGGATCGGCCGAGTTCAAAAAGTTCTGAGCTAGTGGTTCCGACTGAGATCCGATTCTGGCGACTTCCAAGATTTCACCTGTAGTAGACGACAGCGTCCACCGATACTGTAACTGAGTCTTTCGTCAGAACCTCCTGCGGGGGGACATCGAATGTCAAGGTCCTAAGATCGACCTGCAAAGGATGTGATGTATTTTACTGCGGAGGTTCTTCGGAGGCATTCATTCCGCACGCCCCCCTTGAATTCCCAATCGATAAATGACGATCAAAAATCACCTTGGTGTAGTTCTCGATACATGGCATGATGAAGAAGATACCTGTAAATTCTTAGCGTAAGACTTTGTTAGTTTAGCACCCGGGTCCGCTTTGGACAAGCAGATGTGAATTGGGCATTCCTGATTCACTCGATGGTGATCTCCTCGGAGAACCGGAAGTGGTTCGAGGAAGGGTGTTGATTTTCGCTGTCGTGCGTTCTGGCGACGGAGGTTCTGTGATGGGTTCTCATCTCTTGACTATGTTCCATACGGAGCTGGGTTCTTCGGCCATTTCGCGGATCGGATCCCACTATGTCTATCCGTGTGACGTGCGCAATCGCTCTATCATTCGTATGTCATCCGCTAATCACAGGCTCTTCCTATGCTTGCGGGTGAATGCACTGGAAAGCACTGTTAGAGATAGAGATCAAGGCCGTTCGCTTGCCAGAACGTTTGCCCCCTCTGAACACTCAAAATTGTCGAATGATTGGGTGAGTGAGTCGGACGAGTCGGTTCTCGACTCATTTACATACGTTACTAGTTTCTCCATATGTAAATCATGCACCCGAATTGTTCACCTCTTTCGCTTATAATTCATTCTGATTAGTTTTCGCTTTAGTCAATGAAGCTGCGGTGGAGCCGACCGTCGACAGCGCTGCCAACGGAGGCCCGGAGTTTTAGTTTTCCACTTAGACCAGTTTTGAGAGACATTTCTGAGACGGATCGGGTCGAGCACATTCTAAGCGATACATACCAGGTCCCTTTGAGCCTCCAGAGAGGAGACGACCGAGGCGGAAGATGACAGCCCGCTCATACTCTTGGACGACCTTGAAATACATGTTCTCACTTTCAATTTCGCCGCGCCTCCACTCGACACGAGTTCCGAAGGTTTGAATTCCGTCGCAACGGACGCGGAAGCGAAGCAACGAGGGAGCTCAACGCAAAAGCCTACCTTGATGCAGAAAAACAGCGACAATGGGAATGTGGCTCCGATGAGAATCAGGGAGCCTACTGTTAGAATCCAACCGCAGAGGCCAACGTCAGTATCTTCGGCGTCCGCTGCAAGGATGCGATGCTGCAGTCATTCGACTATCGACTAAGTTCAGCGACTCCGACTCTGTCTTTCAATGTTGAGCCGAGCTCTCGCGGTAAAGGAATCACACATCCACGGTTGGGGGTTCCAGCAAGTAGGGTCGGTATGAGAAACAAAAGCACCTCACCGAAGACTAGACGATCACCGAGGGAAGTACTTTTTTGCATCTGGGTTCGCGTAACATGCACGAAAAAGATTGAGAAAGGGGCTCCGAGGATCGCTGAGGTCCCCCACTGTAGCGGATACGCCTCTGTTGGATTGGCTGGCCGGCTCCAGTAAACCGGTGTCAATTAGACAAGCCCGTGCGTAGCAACGAGGTCTAAACAAAGGTTCATAAATTGAACAATCGATTGACCACGTTCGGAAAGAGGTGCCCTTTCCAAACATGCAGATCGAGATCAATACGAAGCGAATTCTCCTTGACAGCGGATATTGCTCAGAGAATACTCCAGATTTCAGATCTGAGATTTCCCTTCTCGCAACAGGATTTCGGTTCGATTCATTTGCGACGGAAAAGACAGACCCTCGGTGAATTGAGTTTTCGACGTCATCTGATCCTCTCTAACATTACGGCGACCGTTATGAGCCATCGCGAGCCCATCTGACATGTGTCGCTCATTGATTCTGGAAGATTATGACTGGGGCGATATTCGAGATTCAGAACGGCGATCCAATGAAGCCGACCGCTGCCACTTGCGAGCTTTTTAGTATTAATCAGAAAGGGACATCGCAATAGTATGCTCCCCAGCGCTTGGTGCATCGAGGCGCGCGGTCGCCTGATTCCCCCGAAATTCAGGTGATTCGTCGGCTATGCCGAAATATTTCCTGCAAGGGGTATCTGACTTAGCTCACCGAGAGTGTAGTCTTTCTTCGGTGCGCCATTCGGGATCCGCGGGCTCCCCTGGTGGATTTTGTTCTGGAATCCATGAATGTGGGAAGGCATGATGCCTCCACCGCTGTTGGGACTCTCGGACACCGACGAGTGAACAGCATCAAGAACTTGACGTCATCCTCCGTCGAACTCTCCTCGACTCTATCGGGGCTACTCGACACAATCTTTCGAGACTTCAGATGCTCCCGCGAGAAATGGCTCCCAACAAAGGCTCCTTCACGGGTTCACCAAGCGGGAGATTGTAACGGTCGGTTTATGAGCTACTCCGGAATCATCGGCTCAATACAATTAGAACACTTCGGACCACTGTGCGCGAGAGCGCTTTGCTATCTCACAGGCAAGTGCGCCGTAGACAACAAGATAGTCGTATTTATCCGGAGACATTACCGAGTCGCAGAAGTCGACCCCGCGACAAGCATGGGCGTCAGGTAATTGACTCCGGTACCGGATTCGAGAAGGGATATGTAACTAGGGCTTCACAAAGCGCGCATGGACTGGTGTCGTGACTGGCAGCCCATCATCGACTGAATCACCTGATATCCCATCCTGGAAGGACGACCCATCGATATCGATTGGAAGCGCAGGTCTTCGCTGCGTCGTCAGGATTCTTCAGGGGCGTAAACAGGGAGTGGCTCTCCTGCCCACGCACAAGTCTCGTCTCTTGCTCTTGAGAACCTTAATTCATTCCATGACAACAGCTGTCAAGACTAGGCGCTCATTTATATTTTCATTCATTTATGTGTGCATGAATGTATGGATTTCGACATCGCACGATTCGGGAGCAACAATGTGATATTCTCTGAAAGGGCCCTACCTTCCGGAACCTTTGTCTGACTCGTGACCGATGGAGTGTGTGGGAATCGATTCATCAGAACGACTGATCGGCGCTCTGGCCGTCTTAACATATTCCCTCCAACCATCCCTCATTCTTTTTTGCGAGAATGCGTCTCGGGAACAGGCTATGGCGCTGTCAAGCAGAAGCTCGCAAAGAACTCTAGAAGTCCCGGTCGGACCGTGGGTCGAAGTCGTTTCCAGAGCAGCCATCGAGGAAACGGAAGCGGCCGCGTGATGGGGGAATCGGTCCACGGGGACCAAAGGGTTGAGCAAGCAATCGTTGTCGCCCTGCGGAACGTTTGAACTTCCTGATCACCCTGTTCCGCCCAAGCTGCTCTCTCCAAACAAAGAGAAAACGCGACTAGAGCCAAGTTGAGATTTGACCCATCGAGCCAACCAGTCGAAACCAAGGGATTTATTATCGAGAAGGGCCCTGAACATCCCCGAGCGATTGCACCCACCTCTCGATTGTCTAAGGCACGAGACACAGCGCAGATCTCCAGACCTGAGCATCGACTGTTGCGTGAAATCGTCGAACGGCCGGCGTCGAGCAACCTCAGGAATGTGGTCTTGAGGAGCGGGCTTAAGTGGGTCTGATTCTTTCTTTGAGATTCGCCTCGTGATAGGTATTCCCAGTCCGTCTGCCTATTCTCGATTCCACGCAGCTTGTCAACGTGGATGGAACGAAAGCTCAGAAAGAAAACGAACATGCCTACTACATCGAGAATATCAGTCGTCCTTCCACTGGAAGCCATCAGCCATCTTGAATCGATTACGAGATATGAGGCCCCGTGTCATCAGCGTCCCGTAAACTTCCTTCCATAACACGCAGACATTTTCTTTCAAATTTCAAATACTGGAGAATGACCCGCTGCTGAAGAAAACTAGTCACAGAGCCAGCTCATCATTGAAGTCAGAAACGCTTGATTTGAATGTACTTGAGCGATTCTCCAGCGAGCACATTCAAGTTTCATCAGCTAAGTGCGCTTACTCCTTCCGGCTGTACCACGGGGCTCCTATTCAAGCAATGAATAAAATACCCCTAGATGCGTCGTGAATTGTTTTTCTTGTCGCGTCCGGTCTGTACAGACAGCCGTGTGCGGTTTCGGAGGAGAAGTACGGAATCCACAGATCGTTTACCGCAAAAAACTTTGTCACGTCCACGTCGTAAGCCTCGGAGGAGCTCGACTACAGCGGACGTGGTTTTCGTCGGGGAACACGGCACGCGAGCAATAGAACTAACTAACTTCTTACTGACTCCACGTGATAGAAAGAAATGATTTGAGATCGAAATCGACTCCGGCACGAGGGGGATCTCTGCGTGTCGTTCTCAGATTTTCCGGCGAGAGGGAAATCTCATTTATTCAGAACTCCCGCATCTGTGACTCAGGTTTCCGTGCATCCATTGATAACTCACCGAAATTGCGAATTTCTCCCCCGTTGTTTCCTCGATTGGCTCGACCGTCTTTAGATGCGTCGAGAGACATCGCTTCGTTGATGTTGTTGTTTATCGAAAGTGATTTGCGTCGTTGCAAATACTTTGCGCTCTTCACGATACGATCCGAGTTCAGTGAGATTTTGTCCTCCTCAGGGTGTGAAGGCGACACCTGAATCGCCCTCATCGACTGTGCCTCTCGTCAACAAAACCTTGGTTGCCACCACAAGGCACTCGGCAACGCAAGCAGCCTACGTGCGCCTCGCTTCGTCTCGACAGCTATGCGGCGGCGAGACGGCCGACCGTGGTTCACGAGCAGCAGCAATCCAAGCTCGTGCTGTCGTCGTAGTTGCCGGTCGTGGGTGGGCAGGCTAAGGAATCGACCGTGAGTACGAGAAACGTCGGGCTCCGCACGAGGGCGCTCCGTGACCAGAGCAACCTGTTGGCTCCCCACAACTTCTGCGCTAAATGTCAAGTCCACCGTTGTCCGTCGGTCTCCCCGTTCTGACCGCTGGGTCAGTCTGCGAGTTTCTTCAACTTGCCGAATTTCTTCATGTTTTTCGCGGGAGGTGTCATCCTCCTGGAGATCCGGGGGGGGGGGGGTTCTCTCGCGATTATGATCGTTCCTCAACAGAAACATGGGCCGCCCCAAGCCCCGACTAAGAACAAAAAAAATGTTTCGACGACCGTCCGTTGTAGCTCGGAAATACTCGAGTCTCAGGGAGATCGTAAGACGTCGACCGAGTTGCGGAACCGGAACTGACGATGGAGGCAACCAGCCCATGGCAGCGACCGGGAGCTTGAGTCTCTTTGCAGCTGAAGACAGCCCGGGAATATCTGAACTCTGAGTACATGCGAGATCCACGAAATTCGGCCGGATTTAGATGTCTGGCTCACAGCTCGTGGTCGATGAGCTGGGGTCGTCCGGTCGAGAGGATCGATGATGCCTCGCAAGGGGTTTCGAGTTCTGATGTCCTGAGCACTTATTATGGAGCGAGACTAGCTGGCGACACCACAAATCATCTCTTGTCTATATGTCGATTCCGTCCGCGCCACTGATATTCGGGCAGTCTGACAATATGCTTCTCTGTTCTCCACAGGAGAAACTCCAATCGGACTTCGCTGCCCGAGTCGATATCATGTGCATTCAAGCATTCTGTCCTAAAAGGCGGTACGAGATCATCGAATGTCTACCGAATCGCAGATGTAAGGGGGCGCGCGGACCCGACCTGTTGGGGAAAAAGACAGATCTCTTCATCAGAAGAAAAAGTAGAACTCTTTCTAATGGATGGGTGCAGGGTGCAGCGAAGCGGCATGGACACTCAGAACGTTGCAGACCCGTTGTAATAGAATTCGTATGCCCGAGGAGCAAGAGGTCGATTTCGTCTGATCTCCCGGCGGCCTAAAGCATCCGAGGCGGAACCGAGTGGCACTGGGAACTGCAGGGAGCATCATTACGGGTGCATTGACCAGAGATCGATTATATGTATGTACATAAGCTGAGCACTGACCTTCACCGAATCGTCGATAAGCCCACATTCGAGGCCCGCGCCCCACAGATTCACATCGTTGGTGTCCGTGGGGAAGAGCGAAGGACAGAAATCGCTCACGATTCGACCTGCCAGAATTCTTCGGTGAGTCCCCAGACCGCGGAGAGGCTGACCGTCGTCACGCGATTGTCACCTGGTCACCGGCTGTTTCCCAGGCTTGAATTTCTGTTTTCCAGGTCAGTACGGAAGGCACCATCGAATGGACATTTTTCCTCTTCATTTTTCTTGATGATCTTCACATCATACCATCGGGGGTCCGTGAATTCCGGGTTAGCTGTGTCCACCGTATGCTTTCTCAACTTTTCAGGATTTGAAACCAATGATGCTCTGGATAATGAAGATGACTGCGATCGTATAGCCTCCGACGCCCTTGATCCTTATCAGCGTGAGAGCAGCCGCGATGCCGACGGCCGCCTTCCGGATCGAGGAGAGCGGGGGTCTAGATCCACAAGGTCAGGAGCTCATCATGGAGATTCAAAGCAGAGTAAATCCTGATATTTCTCCCCTTGAGTCCGATGATATCTTGGAATTTCTAGCGGGAGCAGATTTCGAGACCAGAGTAAGAGACCCGTGAGTTCAATTTTGCGAGTCAGCACGCATCACGTACTTTGCATGGTAGGGCCGTGGCCATTCGAGCAGCCAGCCTTCGGAATAAGCGACAGAGCAAACCGTGCTCACCGAAACCTGAAGCTTATCTTCCAGGAACGAGTGAGTGGGTCGCTTGCAGGCTGAGGGAATGGCGTAGCGTCTCGGTAAGGCGGAAAAAAGTAAGGAACAGCGACATAGAGGAGCGGTACCAGCAACTTGATTACGCGGAAGGAATTGAGAACAAAAGCTCGTGTGTCTATCTTCTATAGTGCCTTTGGAGTGGCTCGTTTCCTGTGCTGTCTGGTGGGCTCGCATTCTTCCTCAGAATATATCACGGCGGAGATAGGATTGGAAGGATTCACGGGAGCAAGCCTTCATGCTGCTGACTCGATCGACGGATGGATTGTATGATGGAATTTTGTCCGAAGCGATCGTCGTCAGAGGAGTTCAGAACCAGATTCATTCCGCAGCTTATCGGCCGAGGAACGATGCGTGGCCGTTGGTGCAGGTCCAAGACAGAATTGAGTCCACAACAGCGCAACGATCTCTCCCGGAGCACGACCTTGCGGTGAGTGCGTAAGCGAAAGCAACGCATCCGACGTCCGCCTCAAATAGCGGCACTGTCGCCGCTTCGACCAGCAGCCCCGTAAAAGACAATAATGCGCTCGGAATAATTCATGCGATTGCTCCGTCGAGGTGCCCGCTTGCTCGGATTCCCTCATTTCCCTCCCGTACTTTGTCCGCCCTCTCAGTAACGGTTCCTTTGCTTTAGTTAAATAAGAGACTCTGTCACCGAGAGAAATAGAGTGAACCAAACAAGCGGGCCGAAACGAAAGAGCCGCTCCCGTTGAGACAGACAATCGTGGCCGAGGGGAGATAGAATTGAAAGGCGGGAGGCGGACGCAATCGAAAAGAAGTTTCGCTCCCGGTAGTGTAATTGGGAGGATACCTCAGATTTCTCCACCTCAATGGAAGCACATACATATGTAGGAACGATTGGGGGGTAGGAACTCAAGATATCAGGAGGTCTTTTTTCGAGGCGGATGTCCTGACGGTCGAATATATCCTCGATGAAATGCGCTGCTTCCAGATGACGAATGAACAAAGGCATCCGAGGTTCGATTAAGTAGCTAATCATTAGGAGTCCGGTTAGAGGATATCAGCGGCGACATTGAACGTGATCGCATCCGGAGGCCGAATATATAGATTCGGATATTTATTCGTGGTTGAGGCTGTAGAATCGTCGCGTCATCCCTGAGTCTTGTTCCTCGTCGCCTCTACGAGCTGTCCCCTTGTCGGTTCCTCGGGAAACCCGTCGAGGGTATCCTCACGACGACGCGTGGTACTGCCTCTCGAATGGAGAGGACTCTATTCTACTTGCTCCTCCCGACAAGATCTGATATTTCGATCCTACCAACAATCTGCGCGCTCCCGCAGAGCCTCCTCAGGGATTTCTCATGACATTCTACTCCGAGAGTTCACCCTCGATCTCACGGAGGAGATCCGGCCGAGAGAGCTTGATATAGCAATGATTCCTTGCGAGTGTCCTTCATCTTCATCCTTTCACTTCTCCGAGAGGGCTTAATCTGGAGCGGACATAGCGGTGTGTAATTGCGCCAATCGAGAATGGACGCAAATGAAAAAAGACTGTCCGTTATGTTCGGCCATAAATACGAACCAGCATTCATGGAGTGGCATCAGGTAAGTGAATGCCTGAGAAGGGCGCTCGAATCGTATGTGCATACGCAATGGAAATGGAGGTGTCGGAAGCATTGCACGTAGTAAGTAGGATATGCGGGAACCGCAGATTCGAGCAAGGCCCCAACACCACCGAACAGTCAATGAGCTCTCAACTGATATAAGTCTCCGCTGATCACAGCATCTGTCGGGTAGGGAGCTTGCCAGGTGAATCGACTTGTGCTGGTGGGCCTACCACGAATCCTCAAGGTATGATCACCTAGAACAAGATGCAGTTCCGGAGAAGGTTTCGGCTTTGAGGTCTCTTGCACCTGTTCCCATCGCTAGATATCGTTCACTTAATCCTCGGAGGGATCGAAAAGTCGAGTGGATAGCTCGAGGTGATTCCGGCCGCAGATAATCCTCACGCAACACAGATTGTCGCTCTCCGGTTGAGCTCACGCGGCCCAATGACGGGTGGAGTTTCTGATGACAAATGTCGGCTCGACTCCCCCCCTTGTCAGTGCCCTATATGGGGTCGTGAGCTCACCCACACATTTTCCCATGACGAAGGGCTGTAGTATGGATTTACGAGCCGAGCAACGCGTATTGTCGTCGAATTAGTGGATATGAGCCGATCTAGCAGGAGGTTGTGTCACAATTGAACATCAGACGTATCCTTGAAAGTATTCCGACTGTGCGACGACGATTTTTCGGGATCATTTCTGCATCAAATGAAGCCATTTGCCTTCCCAGGTATGGCTCTGGATGCTTTCGCATCAAGATTGCGCGAGATTATGCGAGGAATGGCCCAGTCCTACGTATCGCATCGATAATGTTGACGGGGCGTGCTCGGTCAATATTTGCAATGAGGTGATCCGAATAATAACCACCAGGCATTGACGCGAGCTTTTCCATTTGCCGCGCGGCTGCCGAAATCTTCGAATCCTCATCGATCAAGATCTTTGAGAACGTTGAGAAGTGTGTGCCTAGTATAAGCGAGGTCGGCCAAAACACCATAGAAACTCCGTGATTGACTCTCCCCGAGGGTCAGTCAATCGGAGCTTCTGATCTCTTCAATCCAAAAATCGATGGAGCAAAGTAATATGCGCATACTGCCCTCGACGTTTCGGATCCGGGACTCGATCAATTTGATCGAATCGTTCGTAGGCTCGAAATTTTTCATTTCTCAATTTCATTAATCGGGACTGTCATTCCTCAGAGAACGAATCGGTGAAAGAATGCGGAGAGAGAATCGAAGAGAGGAGAGCGGTCGGCAAAAAAAGGTAAAGTCTGCCTTCGCTTTCGGGATCGCAGCATTAGGCGAATATATGAATCATTAATAATCCTGTCATGTTCCTCGGTATCCATATTGGTCAGACGGTCAAGTGTCCTTGGGGAATACTCTTTGTTTTGAATTTTCCAGCGAGTTGCTATGAGCGATGCGCATCGACCAAACAACTGTTGTCTGCGAGGTAGTCAGGCTGAGTACTCGGGGTATATTCCTGACG